TTTTCTGTCAACTGTTGGACCTTTATCTTTTGGGATTTTCGAGAGCTTTGTGGGTCTAATAATTCGGCGAAATGCGGGGTGCGATTCGTTAGGGTTAGGGTTTTTAGAGTATTTGGATTTTTTGCCCGGGATGGAAGGGCTCGAGGGAAACGAAGGTGTGCCTATGGATTTGAATGTTTCACTCGTGGTGGTGGTGTCAGTGGCAGAGTCGTAAATAGTGGCAATTCTGGTGGCGGAGTCGAAGCGGCGCTCGCGGCGGATATCGCCCTCGATTTCTTGCTGGGCCCTCCGCCGCTGGTTAAATTCCTCGGCGTTGGCGTTGTTCCACCGCGCGAACCGGACCTCTGTGGGCGGGCGGTTCGGGGTGGGGTTGTGGTTCGGGTTCAGGTTCAATAGTGGTGCGAAAATTGGGCAGGAAGTGGGCAAATTTAGCGCCATTTACTGGGAAAGTAGGATTTGGGATCCTCAAATTGAAAGCCAAAGCTTACAACATAAAGAAGAAAAGAGGCATTTTGCTGGGTTTAGATGCAAACCAGTTAAACGACGTCGCAGAGGCAGAGCAGTTGATAGTAGGGGTTTTCAAGTTTGAGTTTTGCAGAGGGAGGAGGGGAAGAGAGAGAGAGGTTTAAGGTTAGCTTGGCGCTAACTGCCAACGGCCTAGTGTCAAGTCCCTTCGAAGCGACGTCGTTAGCTAAACAAAAACAACGACATGCCGTCTTTACCTTCAGAAGACTCAGATGAGTTGGATCCTCACCCCCCGGACATTGTAGACGACATGACACATGTCGTAGGTCAATCTCTGCCTGCACACTGTGTTCTGCTCTTTGCTATGTTTTTACTACTTATGTATGTAAAACGCATGAATGACGAAAGGATGGCTTCACCGTAATACTATGAAACAGAAAGGTCATTTTAGCAAGTACCTGCTTGCTGCTTCCGCTTCCAAAGTTGGAGTTTTCTAGGATTATAGTAAGTTGGCATTGGCAAAGTAGTCGTAGCAGTTTCAGCTGCAGAACCCATGAACCGACACTTGACCAAAGCCTGAAGAGATCTCTTCTGGGCTCGCACATTCAAGGTACTCCATAGAAAGATTGATTCTTTACCTCATTTGATCTTGTAAAGTCTTAAAATTATGGGTTTTTTTTTTTAAAATTTGAATATATTGGGTAGGTTCCTTATAAAATCACAATCTTTCCTGTTTTAGATTTGGCGAAATTTCCATTTACAAATTACAATGTAATTTCTTTCAGATATTGAAGTGTTGTTAAAAACAAGTGCTTGACTGTGCAATTTCTGTGATATGGATATTGCTGGCAACATTGAAATCCGGAGACTGCTGTTGATAATCGGTGGGGTGGTTGTTTTTGTAGTTGTATCTCAGTGTTTTGAGCTTCCCTCTGGTAAAAAGTTTTACTTTTCACCTGCCGATAAGGGTTCAACTTCAACATCCACAGTTTTTGCCAATGTTAGCAGCTCAAACAACTCAAAGCCTAGCAAGTCTAATGTTGGTGTTGTAGTGGGTCTAGTGGTTAATGATACTGATGTTTCAGATTTAGCACGAGATGATGACAGTAATTCACACAAGGAGCTCATGTTGGAGAAGAATTTAACCCTTGATGAGAATTTTCCGGAGGGGACGGATAGAAATGCAGATGATATTTCTGTTCAGGAAAAGACTCTCGATTTTAGAAATGCTTCCTTACAGAAGACTGATAAAACAGATGAAAGTTACAAGGCAGACAATGGACCTAAAACAAGCTCTGGTTTAACTGTGAGTGAAGGTAGAAATGAAGCTGGTATTGTGCCAGTTGTATCGCAAGGAATCTCTACAGAGAGTCCGGAAACCTTAAATGCAGATTCAAAGGGCAATGTGAAACAAACTACAGAAACCCAAATTGAGCATCAGAAGACTGAGCTAAGGCAACCTGTTCCAGTCACCTTGAATGACAATTCTACAATGACTAGTATTTCCATACTAAAGAAGTGGAATCCACGACCGACATCACTATCCCAGATGAATGCATTATTGCTTCGAATTCCTGTTTCTTCTCCTTCAATGGTACGAATTTAAATTTGAGGTTCCAATTTGGGCAACAAGGAATGAGTTAAAGTTTCTGGATGCTCACTTGTACTTTTATTTGCACTAGAGCCCATGGCGGTATTCTACACGTGATCGTGAACTTCAAACTGCAAAACTGGAGATTGAGAATGCTCCCATCATAAGGAACAATCCAGGACTTAGTGCTTCTGTTTTCCGAAATCTTTCCAAATTTATAAGGTAAGCCCGTTTTGTTTAGATACCTAATCTGTCCACTATGTATATGCATGTATAAAATGCTTTATTTTCATTTTCTTTTAGTGGTTGCTTGTACTGCTTCAGTTATGTCTATGTTTTTACTTTCAATTTGGGACTTATCAATATCTACAGATTCTCTTCGTGCTTTCAGAGATACATGAGCATCCTCTATTTAGATATGGAATTGTGAATATTGCTCTGATTCCATGTTGCCTTGTTTGTCTCTTCAAGGAGTTGAAAGTTTGAAATGTAGACTTCTTTGTGGAAACCCATCACAAATTTTATCTTGATATTTCATATGTATTCTATTGCAGGAGTTATGACTTGATGGATCACATGCTTAAAGTTTATATCTACAAGGAAGGTGAGAAGCCTGTATTCCATCAGCCTTTGATGAGAGGAATTTATGCCTCAGAAGGGTGGTTTATGAAACTAGTTGAGGGGAATAAAAAATTTGTTGTGAGGGACCCGAAAAAAGCCCATTTATTCTATTTACCCTTTGATTCGCATATGCTAAGGTTGACCCTTTCTGGACAAAATGTCAAAAATGGTAAGAAGGTCCTAGAGAAATACTTGAAGAGCTATGTTGGGTTAATTGCAAGAAAGTATTCTTTCTGGAACAGAACGGAAGGAGCAGATCATTTTCTTGTTGCTTGTCATGACTGGGTATGGTTCTCATGCATCAATCTACTTTTAATGTCATAGTTTCAGAGTCACCAATCTTTCTCTTCTCTTTCAAAGTTGATGAGTTCCTGTGGAGTAGAAGTCCTACTCAGCACCATGAGCATTATTTGTTGTTAGTCTAGAATAACTATTAATCCAGGAGCTGTGCTTCCTGAATTATGGATTACAACTAGATGGATGTTGGTGAAGTATGGTTTTTTCCTGTTAGTTTGGGTGATAATGATGCGGTTTTCTCCTATATGTTTCTACCTTTTGCCTTTTCAAGGGGAAAATGGACACTATCAGTCATATTGAACTGCATTATACCATCCTCTATCAAAGCCTTTATCTAATACAGCCTTGTCATATGGAATTTCAGGCCCCAAAACTCACAAGACAGTGCATGAAGAATTGCATCAGAAGTCTTTGCAATGCCAATGTTGGTAGAGACTTCAAAATTGGCAAGGACACCAGTCTACCTGTTACATATATACGTTCTGTTGAGAACCCTTTGCAGGATCTTGGAGGAAAACCTGCTTCAGAAAGATCTATTCTTGCCTTCTTCGCTGGGGGCATGCATGGATATCTCCGACCAATTCTACTACACTACTGGGAGAACAAAGAACCTGACATGAAAATCTTTGGCCCAATGCCACATGATATTGAAAGCAAAAGAATTTACAGGGAATACATGAAGAGCAGCAAGTATTGCATATGTGCCAGGGGTTACGAGGTTCACACACCCCGAGTAATTGAGGCCATATTCTATGAGTGTGTGCCAGTCATCATATCAGATAACTACATGCCTCCTTTCTTTGAGGTATTTAATTGGGAGGCATTTGCAGTTTTTGTACAAGAGAAGGATATCCCTAATTTGAGAGGCATTCTGCTTTCAATCCCAGAAGAGAAGTACCTTACGATGATGTCGAATGTAAGGATGGTGCAACAACATTTCTTTTGGCACAAGAAACCCGTGAAGTATGATTTATTTCATATGATACTTCATTCAGTTTGGTACAATAGAGTTCTTCAGATAAGAACCAGATGAAAATGCAAGATTTTCAGGTTCTCTGGTACTAAAAAAGAAGACTGGTGGCTGCAAACTAAAGGTTGCTGTAAACAAGCAGTAAAGAAAGAGAGATCTAGAAACCAGACTCTCTTCCGATGATTTCTTGCCCCTGAAATTGAGAATGAAGCTGACAGAGAGGTTTGTTCAAGTACAAGGAAATTCTAGCTTAGTGGGGATAGTGTATGTAAATGGCCAATTGTGTCAAAATATTCAACAGAAGAAGAAAAAAGTAACTACAGATTGTGTTTTTGCTTCTTATGAGCTTGAAGTAGTGTTCACATAATAGAAATTGTTCTACCTGTGGATTATATGTAGATTGATCTGACAATAAGAGATTATACAAATACAACCGGCTCATTAAAAAAAATTCATATTTATGGTAGGCCTTTGTCTTAAAGAAAAGTTTGTAACACTAAATATAGAGACCACCCAAAAAGGATAAATAAAAATGATGCTGATGGGGTCCGTACGAAATCATTTTGTCTACTTTTTACTTATTTAGTATTTCTACTTCTAGTGGAGCACCAGACCAGAGGATGCCAAAATATTAGTTAATGCTCAACACTGAACAGTGGCAGTCGTGTAAATTGAGTAACAACTAATAACCAAAGTGTACTTTCACTTTTATAGTGGTCCTTTTAAGCCAACAAAAGAAAAGATAATGAATACATTAAGTAAGCCAGATGGCATCAAGGCAGAGTGAGGACAAAAACCAATGAATGTCAGCAAAAAAAAAAATATTGAATGCTTGTCGGTCTCTGAGCAGTGTGACAGTAAAATTGATATTTTATTTCAGGAAAATTATTTTAAATCAATAATTGGATGAGATTGAAGAGTGAGATGCTCTTCCTTCTTTAAACGCACTGTCAAAGGACCAGACTTGGAAAAGCCGTCTTCTTTACTTCCCCAAAACAAAGAAAAGCCGTGTTCTTTGCAAAAGGTTTCTTATTTCCTTTTTTGGGTTATACTCATACATGCTGAACTGCTCAGTTTTGGGCTTTTCTGTTTGGCTTCAAAGGAAATTCAGCCTCAAGTTTTGTACTTTCCAGTACTCAGGTCAGTCGTGATCTTTCATTTCTCGGGAACCAAACAAGAATAGAGCATTTCTTGTTGCTAATGCCTCCAGAATGTTAGTGTTTCTCAGTCACTCTGGTAAGGCTTTGATTCATAAACTAGACTAGAATGCCTGCCAATGTAAATGACATTGCTAGGCGGGTCTAGGCGGTTCTAGGCGGGTCTAGGCGGGTCTAGGCGGCGCTAGGCGGGTCTTGGTGCCAGGGTGGGTCTGGTTCTTTAGGGTTTAGGGTCTGGGTGCCAGGGTGTGTCTGGTTCTTTTATTTTGTTCTTTAAGCCTACTGCCTAGCGATTTTTCGAACTTATGCACCGCAGGGCGGGTCTAGGCGGCGCTGGGAGGTCGGGTTCTTTTCTTTTTTTCTTTTAAAGGGTAATACCGTTCTGTGCTATTAGCTTCCTGCAATATCAAATCTTTGAAGACTTGAGTATGCTTTAAAAAAACTGAGGTCAGACAATTAATCCAGTTTTCATGAGAAAACATCCTGAGCCCATCTAAGTGAACTGAATGATTAATTGTAATATTTAATCTTTTTCACCTCCTTCCCTTTCTAATTACAAGTGTTTATCAGAAGTAGGACTTACTGTAACTGTTTTGCATTTCTCAAATCTCAATCTAGTCATCTTCATTGTTAGATTGGTGATGTTGCTTCATCTTGATGTAGGTTGACACTACCATTACACGGTTTACAATTTGCTTGGAGATTGGCAATTTCTTGTTGGAGAAGTTCTGTCGTGTACGTTAGATGTGCTCATCTTCGAATTTGCAGGTAGAAGAAGTATATTTCAATTATGCAACTGATGGACTCGTATTCGATAGAGTCTATGAATAGTTTCTTTTAGTTTTAGTTCAGATTGGATTCTGTTTTACTCAATGCAAATAATTCATTGCTTTTAATTACAAGTCATTGTTTCATTCTTTTAGGTTCTCATGGTTGAGCTTCATTTTTGCATTTGTCAGCCTGGCATCTCGAGTACAGAAAACATTGTTACATTATTGATGATGAGGCTTAATTAATGTGTGTATAACTATTAAGTTGAGCCAGCCAGCCAGCTTTCATTTTGTTTTTTGGTAATTAAATTAAGGATTTTGCTATCATGTTTATATGATGTGAGTGAGGTGATTTTGAATTGTTGTTTCAGTTTTTTCACTGTAACAAAGTTAGCCTTATTGGTGCTCTCTGCTCTCTAACTGTTCATGAACTTCACTATTTGTTTTGGTCTCTACCCCGATTACATGTTAACAATTCCAAATATTAATGCTTCAAATTCTTGTATTTGTTTTTCCAATGTGTGATTCTGGGTTGTCTATAGTGCCTATCTGATTGTAATTTGTATGTATAATTTTATCATTGCGGGAACTTCATGCAGGACTTGGCAAGTATTAGGGTCTGGTATGAAGTACTCATTTCAATTTCCTAAGATATGCCATGTAGAAACCCGGAGATGGCTTTTTCTTCTAGGGGTAGTGGCTGTTACTTACTTATCGTTTCAGTCATTGTTGCTTCCCTATGGAAATGCTCTTCGGTCTCTGTTGCCTCATAATGAGGTTCAAGAACAATTCAAAGGTAGTGGCGTCCTCTCTATTCATTCTTCTGCCAAGTCTGTGATGGTCCGCAATCCTCTTACGGTACATTCTTCTTCAGATTTTATTGATGTTTCAATGTTTGGTGGGGTGGAGAAAGCTGCTGGTAACTCTGGTCTTGGAGGAGAAATTGGACATGGTCATGGACCGATTGGGAAGGATGTACATAAGGAAATTGATTTACTATTAGAAGAAAAAGGGATAGATAATACTTTTGCAAATACCATGCATAGAAATGTTGATCACGATTTTCCGTCTGAGAATGTGGTAGACACAATTGAAAGTCTAGCATTGGTCAGCATTGAAAATCAAGAAAATGGTTCTGTTCAGGATAAGGCTAATGTGGCTAAGTATGGCTTCCCTTTGGAGCGGATTGTGTTACCAAACTATGAAACTTCTACTGAGAATACTTTGAAAGAAAATTCAAATCTGACAGCAAAAAAATCTGATGGTGTCAAGACTGGTTTTCCATCCTCTCCACTCATTTTACCTGCAGCAGCTTCGTTGGCAACTGTGATCAATGCTTCTGTTGGTTCTACTTCCTTCAAAAGTGATGTTGCGACTTCAAAAAATGGTTCTGTGGTGATGAAAAATCCTGGGAGGAAGAAGATGAAGAGTGAATTGCCACCAAAGTCAATAACATCAATATATGAGATGAATCATATACTATTGCGGCACCGTGCGTCTTCACGTTCATTGGTATAAATATTTCTGTTGCCAACCTAATCATCCCTTAATCAGTTTATGTAGGGGTTCCGAACTTCTTCTATTTTGTTGCAGAGACCACGATGGTCCTCTGTACGTGACCAGGATATCCTAGCTGTAAAGTCACAGATCGAGCATCCTCCTGTTGCAATAAATGATCGAGAACTTTATGCCCCTCTCTTTCGAAATGTTTCTATGTTTAGAAGGTAATTGGAATTAAAATAGGAGTTGATTTGATTTTAATCCAACATTGAAGCCTAATTTGCCATTATCAAGTGATGTTCTTTTTTCTTTTTTAACAAGAAAGTGATTCTTTTTAAAGTAATAGTTGTTCCATTATCAGGAGTTACGAACTTATGGAACGCACACTGAAAATCTATATCTACAAGGATGGAAACAAGCCCATCTTCCATCAACCAATACTCAAGGGGTTATATGCTTCAGAAGGATGGTTCATGAAACTGATGCAGGGATATAAGCGCTTTGTTGTGAAGGATCCACGAAAGGCGCATCTGTTTTATATGCCATTTAGTTCACGGATGCTAGAGTACACTCTATATGTACGTAACTCTCACAACCGTACAAACCTACGCCAATTTTTGAAGGAATATTCCGAAAAAATTGCAGCAAAGTATCCTTACTGGAACAGAACTGGTGGAGCAGATCATTTTCTTGTTGCTTGCCATGACTGGGTATGCTCTCCAAGCATCTTTCCTTGTCCTTGATTTTGCTTGGGTGACTAATGTCTTCTTTGTTATTTTGATAAGATACAAAGAGAGTAGAATTGGATTCCAAATGGTTTTGAGATTCATGACCTAAGCATTCACTTTCAAATGAATCTTATCATATCGGCCCATGTGAATACCAAATCTAGTGAGGAGGTTGTTTAAACCGACCAAAGGACCATTTTCAAAAGTGGAACACCATATGTTCTGTCCATAAATGTGTGCTAGTTTGAGCCCATAATGACTGCAATTTCCTACATGTGTGTGTGTGTGTCTTTCTGTTTGCATGTATTCTTAATATGAAAGGTTGGCTTTTATAGGCTCCATATGAAACAAGGCACCATATGGAACGTTGCATCAAAGCCCTCTGCAATGCTGATGTAACTGGCGGCTTTAAAATTGGAAGGGATGTGTCTCTTCCCGAAACATATGTTCGTTCTGCGAGAAATCCTCTTAGAGATCTTGGAGGCAAACCCCCTTCTCAGAGGCAGATTCTTGCCTTTTATGCTGGAAATGTGCATGGCTATTTACGTCCAATTCTGCTAGAGCACTGGAAGGACAAAGACCCTGATATGAAGATCTTTGGTCCAATGCCTCCTGGTGTTGCAAGCAAAATGAATTACATCCAACATATGAAGAGCAGCAAATACTGTATCTGCCCCAAGGGTTACGAGGTCAACAGCCCACGAGTGGTCGAAGCAATATTTTATGAGTGCGTCCCTGTGATCATATCCGATAATTTTGTTCCGCCATTTTTCGAGGTTTTGGATTGGGGTGCATTCTCTGTAATTCTTGCAGAGAAAGACATTCCAAACTTAAAAGAGATACTGCTTTCAATACCAGAAGAGAAGTATCTTCAGATGCAGCTAGGGGTCAGGAAGGTTCAAAAGCATTTTCTCTGGCATGCTAAGCCGCTTAAGTATGATCTCTTCCACATGACTCTTCACTCAATTTGGTACAACAGAGTTTTTCAGATAAAACTCCGGTAAGGTTGCTTAAGCATGGTCAAATGTTAAGAGCAGACAGCAGAGGTGGAAATGTAAATGCTACCCCTAAAATAGAAATGGGGCTACTTTTTCTCTCTGTGAAGTTGTAGAAATAGTTTCTGTTAGAAATTTTAGCCCATGAAATAACTGCAGGTAAAGCTTCTGTACTATTTTCAGTTTTCACCTTGTAAATGGTAATTACATATTTCCCTTTTGCCATTTTTTTGTAAATGATTTCATCTTGACCCCCAACGCTCATAACTGTTACCTGTTACTACCAGCCAGAAAAAACTCACAAACTCACACCTAAAAGCTATCTTTTTGTGAAATTGGCTAAAATAGCCCTCTTTCACAACTTCTATTTTAAATAGCTCCCTTTGCATTAAAGAGGCTCTATAGGGACAACAAAGAGAGAAGCGGAGCCACAAGGTGTGGTGCGATTGGCAAATTGCCACATCGAGTTGGCAAGCTACCTGTTGCGTCAATGGCCAGGGGTTCAAAACCTGTTGGAAGCACTTTGTGGCCAGGAGCAAGCTGAATCCCGAGCAGGAATTCATCCCATCCTTTGGGTGTGGGGACACCTGGTAGTATTTGCCACCCAAAAAAGAAGAGAAGCGGAGCCACCTCGTAGTATTTGCCACCCAAAAAAAAAAGAGAAGCGGAGCCACACGCATGTTCCCCCCCCCCAAAAAAAATTCTCATGAACTCGAAGGTTTTATTAACTTAAAACTTGAAATCAGTATGTAATTTCATGTCTTTTTCAGCTTTTGGCCCCTCCAATATTTAGACTCTAGTTCCGCCACTTATAGGGACAACAAAGATACATCCTAAAGATCAAGGGCTATTATAGAATAAAATTTGTGAAAAACGGCTATTTTCTTTTGGCCAAGTGGTTGGTGTCTGACGAACTCACTGCTCGACTAACCTATATATATATATATAAAATATTTGCACAAGGAGGATACTTTTTTAAAAAGCTCTTTATTATGAATGAATTATTTTACTTGAACAAATAAGCATTAACATAGAGTCTAGTAGGCAGCGTTCGTGTAATAAACCTGTCTTCTCTGGTAAGATCGGGAAAACTATAGATTACATGGGGTAGCTTAGCGATAATGGGATTTAACGTAAAAGTTTTTTTTTTTTCCTCTTGTTTTTTAGATAATAGATACCCACGGGCCACGAGCACGAAATTTATGAAGGGTTTCTAATTGTGCAAAAGATATTTATAGAGAAAAGAATTGTGTGGCTGATAGGTTAGCGGCCTCTTTTGGCTGATGATGTAGCTTTAGTTGTTTGTTTGTGGCGCTTCTTCATCTGCAAACAGTTCTCCTACCTATCCACTTCTGATCCAAGTGATTGTGTGAATCGATTTCGGTGATATACGAAACTGAGCTGACTAAGCGCGCCAAAAAATCCCTTTAAAAGAAGCTACAATGAACTTTCACACCTGTAATTCAAGGTTTGAAAATATATACATGTACAAAGAGGTTTCACACTTAAACCAAAAGTTCCCCCAAGGAAGCATTTGACATATTTAAAATGAGGTTTAATATCATTGTGTCCCACTATAAATTGTATTTCAATAATCCGAATCATCTAGTTTTAGATATTTTCTCAAAGATTATCTCTATAAAAAATCACTTAAATTTGAAATCACTCAATTAGATCATTGTTATTACAGTCTTTTCTTGAAACACCGTGTGTGAAAACCCCATTCTCAAATACTGCTTGTATAAATAAAAAGAAAAAAAGAAAAAAAGAAAAAGTGACGATGACTTGCTATCCTAATAAATTTCATGGTTGAAGGAAAGGTTTAAGTCTCGCCAAAGAAGGGAAAGGTTTAAGAAATTTCGCATCGTGTACATAATGAAATGATGAAGCGCTTCCTTGGGAACTTTTGGTTTCCATTTATATATATATATATCATTTCCTCTCTTATATCTACAACGTCCCTAAACCCTAAACCCTATATATCATTTTCATTTCCTCTCTTATATCTACATCCCATCTACAAACTACAGTACTGCCCTCAACTTTTGGCCTTGATTCCTTTGTTGTTCATTTCTTTATTCCGTGTCCTTAAACTCACTCAGTGTTTGAGTGAAGAAGATATCTCCTCATCAGTGCTGATGCTGAAACGCCAGAAGCGGAAATGGCGGTTGGCTCTGACAGCTATATACTGTACCAGGGCTCTTGCTTCACTGTATAAGGAAGTAGTACACGACAAAAATGCCCCATTACTGCGTTCCCGCTCTTACAAAGCCATTGACATGGAACCCAACAAAGAAGAAGACGAGAAGAAATTGCTTGCTATTGATCAGAAAATGCTTGCTAATACTATTGATATTGTGAAGGAAAACAACCCTGACCATTTCATGAGTCAACTTGGACGTTTTAAAGAATTGGCTGCAGCAAAAGGGTTTCTGAGTTTTGTCTTTGAAGCATTCAAGGATGCCGCAATATTGATATTTCTGTTAAGCGCACTACTCACTCTATTGTTTGGTATCAAATTGCATGGCTTGAAAGATGGGTGGTACGACGGTGGCGGTATCATTTTCGCTGTCCTTTTTGTTGTTATCGTCTCTGCTGTTTCCAACTTTAAGCTTTCCCCAAGGGCAAGCCTCCCTGGTTTCGATGAGAATCTGACAACTGTACAAACACGCCTGAACAAGCTGACTTCTTGTATTGGGAAGGTTGGTTTGGCAGTGGATCTACTTGTTCTAGCGGTTTATGTGATTCATTATTTCACAGGAAACAGCAGGGACAAGTACGGCGACGTGATGAATAATGTTGTGGCTATTGTAGCTGCGGTGATCACAACTGTTGTGGTAGCAGTTCCTGAAGGTTTGCCTCTGGCTTCTACTTTGACTACCCTAGCTAATTATTCAATGCATAAAACCATGATGAATGATAATGTTTTGGTGCGGAAACTATCTGCTTGTGAGACAATGGGGTTAGCCACCACAATCTGCACAGACAGACGAGGCACTCTTACTTTGAATGAGATGAAGGTTATTGAGTACTGGCTAGGTAATGAAGCAATCACACAAGAGACAAATCTCTCAGAGATAGCACCGACCATTCTCCAATTGCTCCAACAAGCTGTTGGTTTAAGCACAACGGGCAGTCCAACTGATCAGAAAGCAATTCTTTCTTGGGCCGTGTTTGATTTGGGTATGAACAATATGGATGAATTGAAACAAGGCTGCATGATAATCCAGGAAGAAACCTTGGATTCACATAAAAATAGGAGCGGTGTTTTGATGAGGAGAAACAGCGAAAAGGCTATTCAAACCCACTGGAATGGAGATGCTGAGACAATACTCTCCATGTGCTCAAATTATTATGATAAAACTGGGACAGCAAAAGCCATAAATGATGAAGAAAGAATGCATTTTGGGTCAATTGTTCAGAAGATGCTAGCTAAAGGCATGCGGTGCATTGCATTTGCCCACAAAAAACTTCAACAAGAGAATGGCCAGGAGGAGGATGTTCCTCATGAGAAGCTTGAAGAAGGTGGACTAACTTTGTTAGGTCTTGTGGGTTTAAAGCATTTATGCAGGCCAGGGGTCACAACAGAAGTAGATGCTTGCGGAGCTGCTGGAGTGGTCGTTAAGATGATAACCGGTGATGATGTGGACACAGCAAGAGCTATAGCTGCTGATTGTGGGATACTTGATGATCAGGATTTGGATCAGAATGGTGACGCCGTAGTAGAAGGGGAACAATTCAGAAGTTACTCAACCGAAGAGAGGATGGAAAAGGTTGATAAGATTCACGTAATTGCAAGATCGACACCATTTGACAAGCTTCTGATGGTGCAATGCCTCAAGGAAAAAGGTCACGTTGTTGTGGTCACAGGAGATGGCACCAATGATGATGCACTGGCCCTAAAGGAAGCAGATGTTGGGATTTCAATGGGGGTCCAACTTAGCAATGAAGTTGAGAAGGTGAGCTCAGATATTGTCATCTTAGATGGTACCTTCACCTCTGTGGTGGAAGTTATGAGATGGGGAAGGTGTGTGCATGCCAACATTCAAAAATTCCTTCAGTTCCAGCTCACAATCAGTGCCGCTGCGCTTGTTGTCAACTTTATTGCTGCTGTTTTTTCTGGTAAAGTTGTATTGACAGCATTCCAGTTGCTGTGGGTGAACCTGATCATAACGAATACATTGGGAGCTTTGGCTTTGGCCACAGAACAACCATCTAATCATCTTATGGAAAAGCAACCCGTGGCTCGAAAATCGCCACTCATAACCAGATTCATGTGGAGAAACCTCATTGCTCAGGCCTTGTATCAAGTCACCATCTTGCTTACTCTACAGTTTAAGGGAAGATCCATCTTTGGTGTGGATGAAAAGGTCAACAGCACCCTTATCTTCAATACTTTTGTTCTTTTCCAAGTCTTCAATCAGTTTAATGCAAGGGAAATGGAGAAGAAGAACATATTTAAGGGGTTACTCAAGAACAAGATGTTCTTAGGGACAATTGGTATTTCCATAATTCTTCAACTGGTGATGGTGGAATGTCTGAAGAGGTTTGCTACTACTGAGAGGCTTGATTGTGTGCAATGGAGTGCTTGCCTTGGCATTGCTGCTTTGTCATGGCTGATTGGTTGGATTGTTAAGTACATTCCAGTTCCTGCATAACTGGTTCAAAGCCAAGAGCTTCTTCATCTATATTATATATATATATAGAGTCAAATTCCACTTATGCAAATCCGGTTGATGAATTGGATTAAGTGATGATATAATTGGTTTAGAAATTAAGACAACTTTGATTTGTCTACTTTTTGTTTTCATATTGACCCTTATTAAATGTATTGGCTTTTATTTTATGTTGAGTTTTTTTTTTTTCTGTTTTCCATTTTAAGGAAGAATGTTAGTTGCTAGCATTCCTTACTGCCCAGCCCCAGACCCAAGGCCCCAAAAATTTATCCAGGTACCCAACCCCCTGCCATACCCCGAGATTATCATCTTGACCATCGTATATCAAGTGGGCTAGCACTTATATTCTTTTATTCATCGTGTCAACTAAATCCAAGACAATGTCATTTTCATCTCGATCAATCAAAGAGCTTTCCTACTTATATGAGCCAAATTCATGTCATCGTGCTCTTTGACTTGCCTGGGTGTGTTCCCATGAAAGATAGATGTTGCCCTCTCTTGAAATTAAGTATAAATGAAGCCAAGGTGGCGGGTTTCTTTTGTATTTTTGTATTTGTTATTTTTCTTTTATTAGTTGCATACTGGAATCAATATGTGACAACATTTCTTTGATTATGGTTGAAGATGGTTACTTATTAAAATTACATTTGTTTCACAATTAAATATATTCGTTTTGGTCATTTTATATTAGGGTAAATTAGTAATTCAATCAATAATTTTATAATAGGGTGTATTCAGTTAATTTTAGGATTCGTATCAACGTCTCTAATTGGTGAGCCCCATACCCTTCACTCTCTTACTGTTTTGTTTTCAACATACACCAGAATTGCACTACGTGTACTTCTTGCCTCCAATCCAATGTTACCCCCACACAGTCACTGCTTTCAAGGCTCATAATCTGTTTTCACAGTATGGTGTCACTGTCATTTAAAGAAAATTTAAGATTTAAGATTTCTCTCTCAAATGTTTTTCTACCCTCCTTTTTTTGCCAAAGAATTTCTTTAAGGTTTGATTCAAGAGGGTTCTTTTGTTTTTCCTTATAAAAACTTTGGTCATTAGCGATAATATAATTCATTTTTGCAGTTACGTCCTTGCCTCCCTGGCTGCTGTTAAAGATGAGAAAAAACTTGTATATCATAGGGATATCCCTATTTTGCTATCCCGAACTAATCACGTTTCATCACGGCGATAAGGATTTCACATGACAGAGCATGATTAGATGAGAGTAGCAAAACAATATTATCTTCATGATGCAAGTTCTTCTCGTTAAAGAGACTTATGATGGGGCCAAGGCAGAGATTGGAAATCTTTGAAAAAAAGGGCAACTTGATAAAGATCATCTATTGCACCATTTCATCCCACGCTCCAATCATGCTCCCTTTTCAGCTTCTAAAATCGGGAGACTTTTAAAAGCTCCTAAATCTGAGGAGAGAAAAAGGGCTCATAATGACTCGCTACAATTAAATGCTACTATATTTTATTAATATTTTAAACATTTATTTAATTATGTCTTTAATTTTATTAATTTTTATTCATTTTATTTAATGATAATCAACATCAACGGATGGCATGGCCAATCAATCTATAAACGAAGAGTTACTCAATCAGCCAACAAAAAAAGGGAACGATCTCGCAACTTCACAACGAAAGAAGACAATCTCCTTGTATCAGATTGGATGCGGTACAAGGAAATGAGCAAAAAAGTGGAACATATTGGAAGAGAATTTGGGAATACTTCCATGAATACAAAAGCTTTGTGAGTGATCGGACTGCCAATTCTTTAATGCACCGTTGGTCAACAATTCAACTTGCTGTGAATAAGTTTTGTGGATGGTATGCTCAAATTGAACAAAGACAGCAAAGTGGTCTCAATGAACAAGATAAGGTAACATTATATGTGAAATTATATATATATTGTTTCATTTTATAATTCAGTTACTTTTTTTTATTTTTTATTTTTATACTTTTGCAGATCTTACAAGCCAAAGAAATGTATGAGAAAATAGTTGGTCAATCATTCACATTTCTATATCATTTCCTGCTGTAAATCGGATTGTATTCATGCCTACATCATTTTCTACCCTAAGTAAACTTTCTGTATTTATATAAATAGGGACTTTGTGTAATTTGTTCAATACAAGGAAATATATTCTCTACAAGACTCTGAGTTTGGCAGCCCTGGCATGGACATGCACACAAGAAAAGGCATAAACCTTTCTGTTCTTTAACCTTTCTGTTCTTGCTCAGTCATCCCCTGAGACAATGCATAAACCTTCAAGTTCAGATGTAGATCCACAAAGCATTGGGAAAGTAGTCATTCCATTCGAAACTCGCTGATTCGGGCAGGTGAAGAAATTTCTATGCTATGTGATTCATCCCTAAATTTTGAGCTAGTTAATATACTTGTATGTTTCTATTCTTTCAATAAATTAATGTAATGGGAACTAACCCACTTTCGTTCCAGTTGATTATAACTTTCAAAAAGAACAAATTTCTTAAAATTTTAATACAGAAGAAAATCTATTGCATGTGAATGAAACTCTTTGAGTTGCTTGGCAATACACTACATTAACTTAAGGAGAAAAGACATTTGATGCAAAAAGCAGATTTCTTATTAACACTTGAGATTAACTAAAGAGTAGAGAAAATAAATGAGTAATCGTGTTTGTCAACAACTTTAGAAGAAAAAAGGGATAAAACAGTCTAGACACGAACCAACCAAAGCAACCAAAATCTTTAGCTGAATTCCTCATTGTCTGATCTCGACCTTTTGCCCGGTGGTGCTGCGTTGTCTTTAAAACTTACACTACAGTTCCATCACTTCTCCAATTATCCTAAATGAGGGGAAATTGCCTCACCTTCAAATAGTACTATAACGAATTAGATGGGTTAATTCGAGTATTCCAAAACTATAAATACCTAAATATGCAGCTTCCCCTCAATAAATAAATAAATTATGGTGAGACCAGGAGAAGGGATCACACATAAGACATACATTCAAGATCATGCACATGGAAATGTCACCTTCGGGGTTGATCTGAACCTGTTGCTCCAGAAGTGGTGCTGGGCCCAGCACCATTCTCAATCGGAGGGGAAGTGCACCATCTTCCTTCTGATTCTAATGGCTCAAGTACATGCACTCCACCATCTGTAAGTCCTAATGCAAACTGATTGGGTTCAGATGGATGTACCGCAACAACGAGAGGATACACCCGCTGTTAATAGTAAAGCCGATCGGCTATACTATTTTACAAATTAAATAATTAAAACCCCTGGAAAAAAAAAAAAGACCCCCAGTATAGCCGTGCGGCTATACTATTTATAAATAAAAAGGGGCCCGGCTACTGCCTAGTTGCCCACGTGAAAACAGGTACAGCCGCGCGGCTATACTAATTTTTTTAAAAAATTACCCCGGTATAGCCGCGCGGCTATACTATTTTGAAACATACGCAGGGTATGGCCGAGCGGCTATACTAGTTAAAAAAGGGACCCACCTAGCAAGTAGGTGCCCACGTGTCAAAACACTTAAAGCCACACGGCTATACTTTAAATGGAAAAAAAAAATTACCGTAGTAAAGCCGCGTGACTAAACTATTTTAGTAATACAAAGTCTTTAGTAATAACCCATATGTCATTCCAATACATTCACAATCGTCCTCGGTGAGTTTTCATTTCTTGAAATCTTTTCATAATCACTTCATTATCAATAATATCAAATGTATCTTTCTCAATACATATGATCAAGCTGTCATTCATCCGTATATCTCCCATTTGGTTGCCTGATTTAGCTTTTAGGTTAGTAATTCTTTAATTAAGTTATTAAAAAAATAAGTAAAGGAAAGTTGAGAAGGGTCATATTTTAATAATAAATTATATATAAAGGGTAAATAGTAATGAATGCAGGGTTATTTATGGAATTTCAGAATGGTCAGCTGACCCTTGTGGGCCTTCATTGACTCCGCCTCTGGATGTGCAACAACAACGAGAGGATACACCCGCTGTTAAGAGTAGAGCCTCGCGGCTATACTATTTAGAGAAAAAAACCCGGTATAGCCGAGCGGCTATACTATTTATAAATAAAAAAGGCCCCGTCCAGCGGCTAGGCGCCCGCGTGTGAAAACCAGTACAGCCGCGCGGCTATACCAATTTTTAGAAAAAATACCCCGGTATAGCCGCGCGGCGTTACTATTTTGAAACGTACGCCGTGCGACTAAACTATTTTTTTAAAATAAAAAAATTACCCGGGTTTAGCCGCACGGCTATACTATTTGCAATTATCAAGTGATGCTCTTTTTAAATAAAATTATTTTAACAAGAAAGTGATTCTTTATCAGGAGTTATGAACTTATGGAACGCACACTGAAAATCTATATCGACAAGGATGGAAACAAGCCCATCTTCCATCAACCAATACTCAAGGGGTTATATGCTTCAGAGGGATGGTTCATGAAACTGATGCAGGGATATAAGCGCTTTGTTGTGAAGGATCCACGAAAGGCGCATCTGTTTTATATGCCATTTAGTTCGCGGATATAGAGTACACTCTATATGTACGTAACTCTCACAACCGCACAAACCTACGCCCATTTTTGAAGGAATATTCTGAAAAAATTGCAGCAAAGTATCCTTACTAGAGCAGAACTGGTGCAGCAGATCTTTTTCTTGTTGCTTGCCATGACTGGGTATGCTCTCCATGCATCTTTCGTTTGTATATGTCTTCTTTGTTCTTAATATGAAAGGTTGGCTTTTATAGGCTCCAAATGAAACAAGGCACCATATGGAACGTTGCATCAAAGCCCTCTGCAATGATGATGTAACTGGCGGCTTTAAAATAGGAAGGGATGTGTCTCTTCCGGAAACATATGTTCGTTCTGCGAGAAATCCTCTTAGAGATCTTGGAGGCAAACCCCCTTCTCAGAGGGAGATTCTTGCCTTTTATGCTGGAAATGTGCATGGCTATTTACGTCCAATTCTGCTAGAGCACTGGAAGGACAAAGACCATGATATGAAGATCTTTGGTCCAATGCCTCCTGGTGTTGCAATCAAAATGAACTACAGATGAAGATGTGCTTCCTCCGGTTAAAATAATTTTGGCCAACACATTCAGACACACGGGTAAGTACTGACAATATTTTTTTTTTCTTTCAAGTACAGGGTGAAGAGTTTGGAAGGTTACTTTTCATGGAGTACAGGGTGAAGATGAAGATGGCAGGAACTAACAGCTAGATCTATGCACTCCGCTAGCCCAGCCTGATTTATTCCTGCAAAACAGGTCCAAGTTAGCGCTTTTGCTTTGTAAGAAATCATAGAGTTCCCAAAGGAATGAGCAAAAATCATTACTAAATCCCATACAATGTTCACACAAGTTCTAGAATTTCTAAATACCTCCTATTATGCCACACAGTATCATATTCTACAAAAACAGCTAATCTGCATGAATCAAGCAACAACTTGCAGAAGTAATAACAAAGAATCATACTGTAATGTTATATTCAATAACAAAGAATCATACTTCGTATTTGTTTCAAGAATCAAACTAAAACCCCAAAAGTGTGTACTTTGAAACCAGAATATAAGACAAACCCAAATCAGCTCGGGCACAAGGAACCTTTCATTTGTAGAAGTAGAAAACAAACACAACCAGTTTATGGTCAACACTGAACAGTGGCAGTCGTGTAAATTGAGTAACAACTAATAACCAAAGTGTACTTCCACTTTTATAGTGGTCATTTTAATAAGCCAACAAAAAAAACTAAAAAATAATAATAAGAGAATGAAACAGTAAGTAAGCCAGATGGCTTTGCAGAGTGAAGACAAAGTGATAACAAAAAACAAAGAACGTCAGCGAAAAAATATATATTTTGAATGCTTGTCCCGATTAATAATGGCGGTCTCTGAGCAGTGTTACAGTAAAAGTGATATTTTATTTAAGGGAAAAATATTTTAATCAATAATTGGATGAGACTGAAGAGTGATGAAACACCCTTCCTTCTTTAAACAGACTTTCAAAGGAACCAAACCCAACTTGGAAAGCCGTGTTTTAACTTCCCAAAAACAAAGAAAAGCCGTGTTCTTTGCCAAAGGCTTTTTTGGATCATATTCATACATACTGTTTTTCGCAAAAAGCTTGAACTGCTCAGTTTTGGGTTTTTCTGTTTGTCTTCAAAGGAAATTCAGCCTCAAGTTTTGTACTTTCCAGTACTCAGGTCAGTCGTGATCTTTTATTTCTCAGTCACTAATGCCTCCAGAACCAAACAAGAATACCATTTCTTGTTGCTAACGCCTCCAGAATGTTAGTGTTTCTCAGTCACTCTGGTAAGGCTTTGATTCATAAACTAGACTAGAATGCCTGCCAATGTAACTGAAATTGCTAGGCGGGTCTAGGCGGCGCTAGGCGGGTCTAGGCGGTTCTAGGCAGCGCTAGGCGGGTCTAGGCGGGTCTAGGCGGCGCTAGGCGGGTCTTGGTGCCAGGGTGGGTCTGGTTCTTTAGGGTTTAGGGTCTGGGTGCCAGGGTGTGTCTGGTTCTTTTATTTTGTTCTTTAAGCCTACTGCCTAGCGATTTTTCGAACTTATGCACCGCAGGGCGGGTCTAGGCGGCGCTGGGAGGTCGGGTTCTTTTCTTTTTTTCTTTTAAAGGGTAATACCGTTCTGTGCTATTAGCTTCCTGCAATATCAAATCTTTGAAGACTTGAGTATGCTTTAAAAAACTGAGGTAAAGCAATTAATCTAGTTTTCATGAGAAAACATCATGAGCCAATCTAAGTGAACTGAATGATTAATTGTAATATTTAATCTTTTTCACCTCCTTCCCTTTCTAATTACAAGTGTTTATCAGAAGTAGGACTTACTGTAACTGTTTTGCATTTCTCAAATCTCAATCTAGTCATCTTCATAGTTAGATTGGTGATCTTGATGTAGGTTGACACTACCATTACACGGTTTACAATTTGCTTGGAGATTGGCAATTTCTTGTTGGAGAAGTTCTGTAGTGTACGTTAGATGTGCTCATCTTCGAATTTGCAGTTAGAAGAAGTATATTTCAATTATGCAAACTGATGGACTCGTATTCCATAGAGTCTATGAATAGTTTCTTTTAGTTTTAGTTCAGATTGGATTCTGTTTTACTCAATGCAAATAATTCTTGCTTTTAATTACAAGTCATTGTTTCATTCTTTTAGGTTCTCATGGTTGAGCTTCATTTTTGCATTTTTCAACCTGGCATCTCGAATACAGAAAACATTGCAAGGTTCATCTGACGATATTGGATGGTTGCCGCCCGCTCCTGGCGTGCCTGGTGTGGAGGATGGTACAGCAAGATTCTTGGAATTGCTTGCAGGAATAAGGTACCAAGCTAATATAATAGCTCCACTGTACTAGATGGTTGGACCTGTTAAGGAACTGCGTTCAATTTTGTTATCATATCTGTTTAATCTATTCTTGTATATTCCTATTGCTTGTATGTCATGCTATATACTTCAGGAATGGGGAGCACACATTGGCTAGCTCATTGATCCGTTTCTATGAAGTTGAACTATAAATAAACTGTCTGAATACTACATTGATCCGTTTTGGCCTGGCTACTTGTGATAAGTTACTTCTGTTAGTTACTAGTACGTTGCTTATAGCCTTAAAGGCACAGTGAAATGCACAGATATAGACTTGCACGTTCATACCTGGGAATCAGAGCCTGACGATACAAGCACGTTAAGAACATGAGAAAAGGCAAGGCCTGTTATGCTTTTTTGATGACCTTTTAGCTTGGTTTTAACCTGTGAGAGGAGCAGCCAGATTGTAAGCAATCCCATATTCCAGATATCATCACAAACTGACAAATTTAAGTTCAGTGAACAGAGACCTCATCAACCCGAACATTGTTACTGGTTTTTTGAGTACTGATGTGGTGAACTGATTTTTTGAGTACTGATGTGGTTCAATGGTTTTTTGAGGACTCTGTATTTTAATGAATTTGCAGGACTTCTATATTTCAATTGATCCATGCGTTTGGTCTTTCTATGGAGTTCTCCATTGTTGGTCTTTCTCTTGAGCTTGGATTGTTTCAATTTCTTCATAAGTTTACTTTTTTGATTGGTTATACACTACAGGGGCGCCAAAATGGAAGGACCATGAGGAAATGGAGGGAAAGAGTTCTAACAGTTGGGTTTGGTCGAAAGTTGAGTGGAATGATGAGATTATTATTTCAAAAAGCAGGCTGGGCATGTGAATTTAACTTCAGTTTTAACAGAAACTAACAGAAGGACCATTTTGATGAGTGGATGACAACTTAAAGGACTATTAGTGTCACCAAAAAACCTAAAGGACCATTCGTGATAATTTTGTAAACCTGAAGGACCATTTGTGATTAAAAAAAAAGTCTTTCTAAATACCTCCTATTATGCCACACAGTATCATATTCTACAAAAACAGCTAGTCTACATGAATCAAGCAACAACTTGCAGAAGTAATAACCCCTAGCCAACATGAACCACAAAAGGATACTGTAATGTTTCATTCAATAACAAAGAATCATACGTCGTATTTGTTTCAAGAATCAGACTAAAACCCCAAAAGTGTGTATTTTGAAACCAGAATATAAGACGAACCCAAATCAGCAGGATGGAAGATCATCTCCGGCACAAGGAACCTTTCATTTGTCAAGTCAAATTCCTGCCCAAAAACAACAAACACCACTCAGAAGTAGAAAACAAACACAACCAGTTAATGGTCAACACTGAACAGTGGCAGTCGTGTAAATTGAATAACAACTAATAACCAAAGTGTACTTCCACTTTTATAGTGGTCATTTTAATAAGCCAACAAAAAAAAAAATCAACACTGAACAGTGGCAGTCGTGTAAATTGAGTAACAACTAATAACCAAAGTGTACTTTCACTTTTATAGTGGTCCTTTTAAGCCAACAAAAGAAAAGATAATGAATACATTAAGTAAGCCAGATGGCATCAAGGCAGAGTGAGGACAAAAACCAATGAATGTCAGCAAAAAAAAAAATATTGAATGCTTGTCGGTCTCTGAGCAGTGTGACAGTAAAATTGATATTTTATTTAAGGAAAAATATTTTAATCAATAATTGGATGAGACTGAAGAGTGATGAAACGCTCTTCCTTCTTTAAACAGACTTTCAAAGGAACCAAACCCAACTTGGAAAGCCGTGTTTATACTTCCCAAAAACAAAGAAAAGCCGTGTTCTTTGCAAAAGGTTTCTTATTTCCTTTTTTGGGTCATACTCATACATACTGTTCTTTGCAAAAAGCTTGAACTGCTCAGATTTGGGTTTTTCTGTTTGGCTTCAAAGGAAATTCAGCCTCAAGTTTTGTACTTTCCAGTACTCAGGTCAGTCGTGATCTTTCATTTCTCGAGAACCAAACAAGAATAGCATTTCTTGTTGCTAATGCCTCCAGAATGTTACTGTTTCTCAGTCACTCTGGTAAGGCATTGATTCATAAACTAGACTAGAATGCCTGCCAATTTAACTGAAATTGCTAGGCGGCGCTAGGCGGTTCTAGGCGGTTCTAGGCGGTTCTAGGCGGCGCTAGGAGGTTCTAGGCGGTTCTAGGCGGCGCTAGGCGGGTCTAGGCGGTGCTAGGTGGGTCTGGGTGCCAGGGTGGGTCTGGTTCTTTTCTTTTGTTCTTTAAGCCTACTGCCTAGCGATTTTTCAAACTTGGATGGAAGAAATATTGGTGGGTAGATTGAAAAATCTGATTCTTTTTTTTTTACTCTAATTTTCTATAGGTGTGTGCAAAGTAGATGGTGGAGTAAGCATTTTGAAGGATGGTACAGAAGCACCACTGTCTTTTTAGATTGTCTTATGCATGGCACGTCAAAAGTTTCATAGACAATGCATATTCAGTATCTTATCTTAAATTAATCAACCAGTACGCTAGATATGTCGAATAAGAGAAATGTTCAGAGGAAACAACCTACCTTAAATGTCATCATATTGAAAGTGCAAAGCATCCTTGGACAGCGTGGTTACATCCTTGGTGGAAAGTGCTATGGAAACTCAGAATCCCTCCCAAGATTCAAATTTTCTTCTGGTTGGTTTTCCAGGAAAAAATTTTGTCGAATGAACAGCGTACTCACAGGCATTTAACTGCAAATCCGGATTGTAACATCTGTGAGTGGCCTATTGAATCAACCATGCATATCCTGCGGGACTGCCCTAGAGCAAGAAGAGTGTGGAATTTATTTATTGTTAATATTCTTGACTCCTCCTTCTACCAAGCTGAGTTACACCCTTGGCTTTTAAACAACCTGTGCTCTAAGGTACAATCCTCTCAGATCCCTTGGAAAATTTTATTTGTGTTCATCTGCTGGCACATATGGAAATGGAGGAATGAGTTTATCTTTAAAAATGAAGCACCGCTACCTTATAATATGCGAGAAATAATTTTGTCTGATGCTAAGGAATGGATTAAAGCTACTGCTGCCATCCAGAATAATATTGATAGGGTGCATGTCATGCTGGCTTGGATTCCCCCTGTTTTGGGGGTGGTTAAACTAAATGTGGACGGATCCCGCAAAGAAAGTACTGGAGCTATTGGTGCTGGAGGAGTTCTCAGAGACCACCTAGGACAATGGCTTGGTGGGTTTGCTGTCAATTTGGGGAAAGGAAAAATTCTTGAAGCTGAGTTATGAGGCTTGTTTTTTGGCCTAAAGCTTGCTATGGAAAAACATGTTGATGATGTTGTTATTGAAATGGACTCAGCTATTGCTGTGAAACTCATACAGAATGCTGAGGTGGATAATTTTCATCCTACTGCTGGCCTGGTTAGTAATTGCAAGAGGATCATGAACCAGTTTAGAAGGGTTGACATTCAACATATTTATAGAGAGAGGAATTCTGTTGCAGATGGTTTAGCTACTTGGAGTCACAACCTTGACATGGGGTATTGGTACCTTGATGATAGCCCTGTTTGGATTGGCAACCTGTTGATTGATGATTCGCTGGGGGTTGCTAAGACCCGTTTGATAAATGTTGTGTAATCTGTGTGTTTTTTCCTTTGGGGTTCTTTAACCCCCTTTTCTCATCAAAAAAAAAAAAGTGCAAAGCATCAAACAGCGTCTTCAGGGTTTTGCATCGCTTATATCATTGGTCATCAATATTCAACTTAATTGCAGGTTGCCACAATTGTGGTACAGTACTAGCTGTGGCCTACAAGAAACAAACATTTTAGTAAATGGCAAGCTTAAGGATGCATAAAAAGTTACAAAATGCAACCATCTCTGTTAGGAATTCTAATACCTTAGTCGTGTTTCGTTCATTTCTTGCCATTTCCAGAGCTTGTGTACAGCATTAGATGATAATGCCAATACAAGGTTTTTCCACAACATTGCTCTTTATCCATCTACAAGGTGTAGCATGCATGATGCACAAAGAAAAGAAAACAAACAAAACATAAAATATAAACCTAAAAATTTACAGATAAATAATCTTGACTCATGTATCTCAATTTAACACTGGATATCTCAGTGTTAGAATGCCCAAGCACGTTATATAAGTATGCATATAAAGTATAAGACCATAAATAAGGTTTGCATAGCCCATCTTAGTGAATAATTAGTATTTAAATATTTAAATATATTTTATTTTTATTCAATAATATGTGAGTATTTTGTGAATAATACATGAATTTTGTGTGTATTGTTGAAAATTTTGTAAAAAAAACAAGTGTATTAAATATGAAAAATACATACGTATGTGTAAAATACTAGTATTATACATGAAAATTCTAAATTCTTTATACAGGTAATAATTCTAGAAAAGTAAAAACTCGAAATGGGACAATAGAGACACGGGTAATGGCGTAATAGTAATGGATAATGCTCTAAACTACTCGTATTGATAAACAAAAATCGGGGAAAAATAATTATGAAATAACAGATATCTATGTCAATAGTATAGCCGCGCGGCTATACTATTTATAAAAAAGAATAAAAAAAAGGACCCCAGTAACGCCGGCATACTATTTTACGAAGCCTTTTTTTTTTTACGGCCATACTATTTTACGAAGCCTTTTTCTTTTCCTTTTTTTATTAAATTGTACGAAGCCTTTAAGTAGCATGATATGTATTTCTCTTATTTAATTACTTTGATTAGTAATTATGTTTTAGTTATTATTTACTTAGTGAATATTAAAGGAAAAAAAGAAAAAGAAAAATT